GCGCCCTCGGTCCCTTCCCCTCGTGCAGCAGCTGGGGCAAAGAGAGAATGGGATTAGCTGATGCATGTTCGCGTGAAAAAAGGCTGCCAGCTGTGCAATTTGGCAGGGACCCTGGTGTCCCTGCTGGACATTCAGAGGTCATCAGGTCAACCTGAGCTCGTAAGCCAGATAAAGAGCAGCGCTCATACCCGCAGGCTTGTAGCGGTAGTTGCCAGCAACAAGCGCCTCCTCGTCCCCTGCCACATTAGGCCCATCCTCCTCACACAGCGTCACTTCCGTACCCACAATTTTTTCAAAGTTCTGCAACACGGAGCGTGCAGATCGCCCGGCTGTGTAGAATGCTTCTATCATGTGGCTTCCGTCTCGCCTGATGATGATGTGAATCCTGGGATCGGGTGCCATGGCCTATGGCGGTCTCTTGCGAGGCGCGGCTTTCAGTTACTGGCCACCTGGAACGTTCTCACTCCAAGCTGTCCATTGTGTGATGAAGCACTAGTGATTTCAGAAAATAGTAGAGTCCTTTTTCTGTTCCAAATTTTTGGCAAGGCGCTAGGAGCCCAACACACCATTGTCTCGTTGCTCTTTGAGGCGCTTGTATTTAGAAGAACCGAATGCCATAGTCTCCACTGCAAGGAACGTTTGCATAGTGATTCATCGATCTTCGCTTGGACACTATCCGTGATGGCGACAGGGAATGAAGTTGCTTTGCAAAACGGAGCAACTTCTGGCAATCTGCCATAATGACTTGGGCCCACAGCTTGTCAACCAAGAATTCCCTGCCCGCACGTGAACTTCCGTATTATATCCTGGTGAGAGTTCGGTACGTCTGAGCAAATTTTGCGACACGTGGACGTTTTCACGATACGTGGACGCTTCTCAGGCCTTCGGGAGTCAACAAAGTCCTGACCGGGCAGCAGACTGCACGGACTGCACCCTATAAATTCCGAATTCCGGGGTCGCAAATCTTCATTTCCAGCTTCCATACCTTCACAACAAGCAGCAGGCCGCCTACTCCGGACCTAGTCAAGCGCCGACCAGCGCAGACTTGCGAGCAAGAGCCCGATTCTAAATCTAGCGACAGTGTGCTTAGGGCCATAGCTTTCAATAGAAGCCGACTCGCCCGCCCATGCAGCAAATCCGGACCAGTTTCGCGCCGACCAGCACCAACTTGCGAGCGAGAGCCCGATTCTGGAATAAGCGACAGTGCGCTGAGGGCCATAGCTTTCAATAGAATCCGGCGCGCCTGCCCGTGCAGTAAACCAACCATGACGACCACGAGCTTGGACTCCGACACGAAGTCATCGGAGGCAATTGTAAACTGGAACATCGAGTCGGGGCCAGATAGCGCCTCAGAGGCGGAGGATGGCGAGAGCTTGGAAGGGATAGAGTACGAGGACAGGTCGGTAGACGGCAGCGACTTTGCTGCCTCTCTCAAGGACTTCTTCGATGACGCCGACTCGGGCGATTGTGGGCAGTCCACAATGTTCTACGCCGCGTTTGACAATGCAAGGGAGGCACAGGTGAGTGTAAACGTTTTTTTCCAGCTTAGCCTCGGTTATCGTTAGCCTTAGTAGTGAAAGCAATGTGCACCTGGCGTGGCACAGGATACAACCTACGGTTCAGATACTACCGCCGCTGCATCCTCGGTACATTCTGAGCGCACGCAACAGCAAATAGTTCAGGTGCAGCGGGGCTGCAGCAATGCAATCAGACCTTTTCGACATTGCCGAAGCGGGCATTGGCCCTGCCTAGCCACTAAGATAGCAATCCACTTGTCGACTTTGCAGATTGATTCGGCCGAATTGCTTGAAGGCCAAAGGAACTGCCGCAGTGGAAGAAGGAAGAGGACCCGCAACGATGACAAGGGCGGCAACAGCACAGAGTTCGTACAAAGGAAAACATGTTGGAAAGTTGAGGGAACCCTACGGAAAGCTGCTGATAGTGATGCAGAGGTAGGCTCACCACCAACTCGAAATAAGCCGACTTCTCTGAACGTTCTTCGTAGGACACGGAGGATGCGCCGAGTTCTACTCTCCGAAAGCTCAGACAAAGCGGTTTGAAAAACACTTCTCAATTGGCTGTTACAGACCATGTGTCATTTTTTCATGCTGGATTACTGTTGGCTAGCATCTTTCGGCAGCAAGCTGAAGTGTTTTACCCATGATCAGGTGTGAGGCTGTGAGAATTCGTCCGCCTTACCGCTTATCAATTGCGTGGCGGAAGAAAGTAGATGCCAGGAGATGTCGAGCTTACATCTTGATGCGTATAGCTGATTCAGCGCCGGGATGTTCGAATGTCATTACTGATGTTGATTCACATAGCTAAAGCTTGTGCGCTTCCTGATGCAGCCTTCCACGTTTCTGCCAAACGAGATGGCAGTTGCCCCCACGAGTCCTCCCAATCATGAGAAGCCCACCTCAAGTCTCCCCAACAGCGAGCAACTCATTCGACCTCCATCCTCGTCATCCTCTTCTGATGTGGACGTGAAAGCGGGAGGAAGAGCCATTGAGTCGAGCTCTGAGATCGATGACCAGTCTGCCACGTCGAGCGAGTGGGGCGACCGTCCTGATTACGACAACCCTCTGTGGAACTGGGACGGCCCAGAGTGGTTTTGAGGAGCTGCGCGAGTATTTTAAAGTCTGCCGCATCGATCCTGATTTGGAGCGCACTTACACAGAGTTGCAACAGGTACGCCCGCTCTCTGCAATTGAAAGTTCTGCTTGCTGTGTCTAAAAGTTTTTCAAGCTGTACCTCTTAGCGCTCCTGTCAAAAGTGTAGACCTGGAATCATCAATCATCGACTGCAAGCAGGCTGTCCAAGTGCCTAAGGTTCTGCCAGAACTTTTTGCAAAAAAGTTAGCTGACGTCACCATCCCAGTTCTTGGAGAACATCTCGACAAAGTGTGGACAATTGGACAGCCAAATCTCTGTCGAGAGTTCTTTGTGCTCAGGACTATCACTTCCATAAGGAGACACGCTTGTTACACTGTCCACGTGTCCAAGCTTTTTCTAGAACTTTTTTGAGGAAAGGTTTGCTGACGTCACCATCCCAGTTCTCAGAGATTAACTCGACAAAGTGTGGACAGTTGGACAGCCCAGATCTCTGTCGAGAGCTCTCTGTGCTCAAGACTATCACTTTCGTCAGGAGACAAGGCTCGATACATTGTCCACGTGTCCAAGTTTTTTCAAAACTTTTTGGGGAACAGTTTGCTGACGTCATCATCCCAGTTCTCGGAGAATAACTCGACAAAGTGTGGACAGTTGGACGGCCCAGATCTCTGCCGAGAGCTTTCCGTTCTCAGGACTACCACTTTCGTCATGAAACAAGGCTCGATACATTGTCCACGTGTCCGAGCTTTTTCCAGAACTTTCTGGGGAGAAGTCTGCTGACGGCACCCTTGAGTCGGGTTGGGCACACTTAAAGCAAGTACTCGGCTTGTCAAGGGTAGGCTGATCTAAGATCCATCTCTTCTCTCTGCAGGGACCGAGCCCGGCTCTTGAGGCCCCTGTACCAAGGATTGACCCCATTCTGGCCGCCGCTCATCACTTTCACAGCCTCGGCGTTGTGACTGTAACACACGACCTCCAAGAGACAAGGTTTTCAAAAGGTCAGGTCCGCAAAAAGCCGTGTAACTGGGGCTCCGAGTCCAAGCCCTGGAAGGAGGCGGACCTCACCAACTGCCTGTCTGAGTTCGCCAAGCCGGGGCGCAACTCTATTGCCATTCTCACGGAGAAGTCGGACATCTACGCGCTCGATGTTGATGTGAAGGACGGGGGCTATGAAGCCCTCGAGCTGATGCTCGAGGAGCACGGAGGATTCCAGGAGGACACACCCCGACTGACCACGGGGAATGGGGGATTCCACATCCTTTTCTTG